GGGGGGGGGGGGGGGGAAGAGAAAACAACGGTAGCGGATGAAAAAAGTCGATCGCAGGCAGCAGGGGTCCAACACAGCGCCGGCAGTGCGCCACAGCACGTGTACTACAGTACCAGAGGCTAGCAAATGAGCTGCAACCGCCATCTACTTCACGTTTGGACGCGAAAAGAGTTCAGCCGTCGCTTTTCATGGTCGACCGTGAACTCGAACCTGTCTGCGTGACACCAAGCATACGCCGACAGCAGCATGTGGCTACTTACGCGACTGCACATCAACCTCGCCCATCCTTCCCCGTGACAATGTAATATCTCCCCTCAATATCTCCCCTGATCCTGCACAGCGATAGCACATGCGCCCTTGCGCGAGGGGGGGTCGTATCAAACGTCCAACACAATCCGGCGCCAAACTGCAGCTCGGGACTCAAATTCGCGCTCCCGGACCGGCCACATAATGCATGTTGTCTTTCATGGACGTTTTTCTCGCGCGCTTCCACAGCAGAGTGGTGGTTGTACAACTTTCAAGCAGCAGCAATCTCGAACACGGAGATGAAGTTGCACGTGTAACCAACTCCATCGTCCATCCGGCCGCTGTTGTATATACGGGCCGTCCGAAGTTTTCAGTCCTCCCCCGGCAACTCCATCGTCCATCCGGCCGCTGTTGTATATACGGGCCGTCCGAAGTTTTCAGTCCTCCCCCGGCTGCCCTTCCTCATTGTAAAAGTGTAGATTACATGTATATATAGACTATGTAGAGAGTTTGCATACAATCACAAGCAGTCGAAAGGTGAGCGTGTTGAAGTCTGTCACAGCAGTGGCAGGGAGAAAAACCGACTTGTGCTCGTAAGCTCGAAAGCCAACAGCCCGCTGGAGAGAGTGGTCCGCCGCGGGCGTAGGACGGCTTTCAAACAAGTAACCAACGGAAGACTCTTACGGCAGTCCCTCTGAACAGGAGAGGGCTTCAAGTGAGGCACGCCAGTAGTGCACAACGCCGCTGGGTTCAACACTGCAGGAAATGCTTGAGTGACGCCGTTGTTGCCCGCGCTCCCGTCTGGTTCCTGCAAGTATCTCTCACGGTGTGTGGGGATTTCAAACGCTTGAAAAAAAATTCAAAAAAGCGTGTGTTGTCGTTTTGGCATGTACCTTGCGATTCCTTCGCGGGGGTGGCTTCAGATCGTCGTCCGACTCTCGGGATCGCCGCCTGCGGGATTCTGTAGCTGTAGCCGTCGGGCGAGCCATGATCGTGCTGCTGTGAGCGTGGCGCAGAGTGCAGGCACAGCAGCGCAAGCGCGGCCGCTGGCCAAAGCTGAGGGGATAGACAGATGATGTGCCGACTTTTCGCCCCCAGTTGCAAGTAGTACCAGCTGTGTGACCCTGTCGGCAAACTGCCAACTGCCAAACTGCAAAACACAACACAAGCCAACGGCTGCCTACAGGAGATAGGGACGCAGGCGTGCCAAGGGGGGAGTGAGAGGGAGGCGCAGTAGCGAGAAGCCATCCACCATGGCCCACGAAGGACTTTGGCCACGAGAGTACAATCGTACAGGGGAAGCAGGCGTCCGGACACTTGCAGCAGATGATGTACTGCCGAGGTGGGGTGTTTCGTCTTCCGCGATCCAGCAGTGCGGGATGTGTGTGTACACTTGCTGTCAGTTGCGACGTTGATGCCGCCTAGAGGGGACTCTCTCACATGGCTTGTCAACGCGTTATGCACGACAAGGTCGGTCTTACTGGCTTGTGTGGGTTTGGTCGAACTGGAAGTCTCGGTACAGTAGACAAGCAATTGTGTGTCTAATTTGTGAAAGGGGAGGAGCCGTACACCATATTGCCCCAACCCTCGACTCTTGGCACCTTGCCACCACGCGAAGATCAAGCCAGCAGCAAACAACGTGGCAAATATATATGTCTGGTGCTCCCTGCTGGTCCACAAAAAGTATATTGCGCTATCATTGTCTGCGTACCTTGAAGGCTCGTGATATCTGGTTCGAGTCAGGGCCGACGATCGAAGAACAAACCGTCTGGTTTGAATTGTCTCGCGCACTTGTTGCAGGTCCATGCTGTGCTTTAGCGACCAGGGCGTCATCAGCCTAAAGGCGACACCTCACAGGGCACTGACATCCATTCTGTTGCGGCGCCTTTGCTCAGGAAGTTATGTGTTCGCAAGGGCATCGCAGCCGAAACCTAGAGGCGCATCACCCACTCTCAAGAACTCTCATAATTATTGACATGAAATCTCCAGTACTGAAATCTGAATGTGAAAAGAATGCAGAGTTCTGCAACTTGCCTCATCCGCAAAATAAATGCCACCACCGATAGAAGTGCCGCCGTTGCCTTAACCCCGTCCGATGCAACGCACCTCTTCCGATGCACCGCCTCCTCCCCACTTTTTCCGCCTCGCCAGAAAATCGGGCCGCGGGGGAGAGGCCCCAGCGGTATGCAGCAGTGGCAACGGCAGCTACCACGTGGGCCTACTGTTCGAGGCCCCAATGGACGACAACAACACTCGGCAGCAGCAGGGCTTAAGAGGAGAGCGCTGCTCCTCCTCGTCAGCTTTCGACTTCGTTTGCTCCAGCAGCGGCACAACGGCGGAGGGGGGGACGGAGGGGGTCGGGTTCGACCGCGTTTGCGCCCTTCGCGGCGAGGTGGTCCACATCTTTACTTTCTTTCATGAAGGCGCCGAGGAGGACGGCGGCAGCAGCAGCGTGGAGGGTGAGGGCCGTTTATTACAGCGTCTATTTTTCTTCCAAAAAATCCAAACCCGTCGGTAGACCATACTTAAAACGTCGATTTGCGGCCGCATAATTTTTTTTTGGAGATTTGGAAACGGCAGACACCGAAAAAATTGGAAACTTGGAGCAATTTGTAGCTGTGTGAAACGACACTGAGCAGTTGCGTTCGAAATATTCCCACGATATGAGTATCCTTAACACACGCTGGTCGATGGGAACACCTTGTCTCATCGCACGCCGTTTCTGCTTTGGAGGAGGCGAGAAGGGATACAAAAAGGGGGAATGTACAAACGCAGACGACGAACAGTATGTACTATCCCAACCTCTGTCCCCACCGCCTCCACAGCGGGCGCTACTGCGGCCGCAGGCAAGTCGTCGTCCGTGTCTCTGGAGCTCGGGCACCCGGCGGAGTGCGCGGCGTGGAACTCTACGGCGTCGTGCGTGGTGGTCGGCGACGCGTCGGGTAGGCTTCACTTCGTCACCCCAGAGGGCACGCTTATCTTCTCCCAGCCACTCCTGACCAACCTGGTTCGAGGGGGCGGTAGCAGGTGAGCTGATGGGGGAATCCACGCTAGTGTTGGCTGTCGATTGTGTACGATGTGGACGCTGCGGTGCAACAGTGGTAGGCAGCAGCAGTAGCGGTAGCAGGCGAGCTGATGGGGGGAATCCACGCTTGATGCATGTTGTCGATTTAACACGATGTGGTGGACACTGGTGTGCAACAGCGGCAGCAGCACAAGAATAGCAGAAGCAGGAGCAGCAGTTGGGCTGGCAGTCGATTTAGCACGTTATGGACACTGTAGTAGTAGCAGGAGCAGCAGTAGGCGAACACCCGGTCTGGCAAGCGGATCGCCGCAGGCTCTATTTAGCCGACCAGTCCTGCAGGCGTCCCGTGATCAGGATGCTTTATTTTACTCCAATAATAAAGGCCAACCCCCGTTATACTCTTTGGTAGATATACAGCATACCCACCATGCTACACGTCAGCGAAGTCAGCGCTGACTTGTAGCATAGTGGATATGACGTAGATCTAGCAACGTCCACCGCACCGCGCACGTAAAACACGAAGAAGCCCACGGGAGCATCCATAGCTGACCCCCTTAAAGCCGTTCGAGCAACTTCAACAAGCTCCTCTTCGCCGGGCCGGCAACCACAAACACTGACCTCGTCTGCGCACGCGCCCGCCTGGTTCTCTTCTCCTTAGCGGCAGCGACGACGACGAGTCCGGGGGTGAGACGACCGCCAAATCCCCTCGTGCTTTCAGTTGCATCAAGTTCGCAACGTCCACCGATACCCGGGGACCGGGGGCGGCGGCGGCGGCAGCAGCGGGCGAAGCCGCGGACGGCTGCGATCAGGAGCTGCTGGCGTTGTCGGCCTCCATGCAGCTGTACCACTTCGCCAACGTGCCCATCGCAGCGATCGAGGTGGGCAATTCCTAGATTGTATGCTGTTTAGGCGGACGCCAGTAGTGCTCACAACGCTCTTTTCGGAGTGTTTTGTTTCTCCGTCTTTCGTAGACTACAGATGGCGCCCGCACTCTAGCTTCCGCCGAGGCTGGGGTTCTTGTTTTGCTGATCATCGTCTTTTGGGCTACACATTGCCGCTATATTAGGGTTTAGTGTGGGGTTCTTAACCGAGCCCACAGATGGTGCTCAAGTTCTTAGCTTCTGATATTTTGCGAGTCTCAATTTCTTTACTGCTAAGTTCTTAGGTGCGGGCGCTACCTGTACCGTAGGTTGCATGATGTAAGATATCACACCCCCTGGACCAATTTTCGACCCTCGATATCTCGGCAGGAAAGGCAGCGACGGTGCCAAAAATGACGGCGTTGGAACCGTGTCGTCGAGAGCTTTCCCTAAACGTGTCGTTTGATATGGGGCATCCGCTTCGTCGTGGAGCAATCGAACTTTGAAAATGGGTCCAGGGGGTGTGATATCTTACGCAACCTACTGTAGCTGGGGTGCCGCTATGTATGACTGTTTTCGGGTTTCCACGCATATTTCTTGACGAAAAGACCGAGCAAACATTGGAAATTTTCTTGGTCGAGCGGACAGAATAGGGGTTTATTGATGCAACGGTCGAATTGTCGACAATCACGAAAAACTGGTGAGCGCCCGCAAATAATATACCCCGACTCGAACGATCACGACCCAACACAATACACAGCCTACAGTAGTACGGCGCCACACACATATCTCAACGCGAACAGAACACCTTATGAGATACTCCTACAGAACACCGCAATACCGCGCACCGTGCCTCACACATCGCGTCGGGTTCAAACAGAACAAAAACTTGCAGCAAAGCATTATAACCAAACAACAAAAGCAATTGATTGCCGCAGGCGGCCTGCTTGGCCCAGGACGTAGGCGCCCTCAAAAGGCTGAGGGCCGGCATCCGTGTCAGCGTCGCCGACGCCAGCGGCGACGAGGAGCCCTTCCCCTGCCCCTCATCTCTGGAGCCTTCCTCCCGAGACAAACTCCCTAGGACGGCTTGCTTGCAGACCCTCCGGGGGGGGCGCAGCCGGGTGTATTTGGTGTCGCGGGGAGGGGTCAGTGTCTGGGCGCGGGGGCCCGGGCGTAGCGTCAGTAGGCACTCTCGTCGTTGCGGCGGGGAGATTGGAGCGGCCGCAGCTAAGGAGGGGGAAGAGAGGGGGGGGGGGGCGGGTGAGGAACGCGGCAGCGATGGAGGTGAGTTGTGCGTTCGGCGTTCGTGTTTTGGTCGTGCAAGGTGCCAACTCCCTTGACCGGTTTTCATATCTCGATCGATCGATTGGTGCTCTCCGGCCGTGTGCCGGAAATGGTACCGTTGGAAACCGTCATCTCGTCGTTTGAGCCTTGCAGAAACGTTCTATCGTTTTGACTGTGTGGGATCCTGTTGTGTTTGGCGGGCCCGTTCTGGTCTTGATTGCTTCCAATCACTCTTGACTTTGGCACCCCGGCACACCGCTTCGCCTGCTGTGACAGCACAAGCAGATGCTCCGAGCGCGCCCGGGGTGACGGGGAAGCTGGTGAAGGTTGACGGGGTCCCCGCGGGGGAGCTTTTCGGCGAGGGGGGTGCTATTTCGGCGGAGCTCTCAGCGGACGGCCGCTGGATAATCGTGGTTGACGACAGGTGACGAAACGTGCAAATGGGTTGAATAGAATACCAGACGCCCTGGACCGCTTTTCAAGGCTCGATTCCTCTGCAGCGGAAAGCGCTGACGGTATGTACCGTTTTGCAACCGTCTCATCGAGAGCATGCCGGCGATGCATCGTTTGACTGATTTGGTGTCCTCTTCGTCCGACTGCTGTGGAGTAATCGAGCTTTGAAAGTCGGTCCGAGGGGAGTGGGGGGACTTTCGCGACACCAGAGGTATATACAGGGGAGACGGTGGTCAGGGAGAAAACAAGACGGCGTGGGAGACGTGAAAGGTTGGAGCGGAAAGAGACATGGGGGGGGCGCGGGGGTACTCATAGTCGTGCATGCCGTAGTCGTTAGACCATTGACCTCGCATCCCTACAAAGCCGGGACGGAGCACGCCGGGTTCTCACCGGACCAGGCTCTCACATCACCAAGCGCGAAGCGCCGTGAGATATTCGGCGAGTCGCATGAAGGGTGCGCTGCATCCTGCTAAGGGTGTTCGGCATCTTGTGCTTACTTCCTTGCGTACGGATGACAGCTGCGTATGAATTAATTTACTTTCTGGTGCTTTCACTTCCAGAGACAGTTGTTAGCACTGTGTAACTGCCTCGAGGGTGCTTGACCATTTTAACACAACGTGGAGCGATCATCCCCCTTGCGCGGAGTGAGGGTTCTCGACCCCGCACAACATGATCTACTCGACCACCATTATGGTTACCGCCACAAGAAAACAGAGGTAAAAAAAAACAAACGGTACCCTGGTCGCCGAGTTCACGAAGTGAAGTGGCTTGTTTTACAACGTCGTTGCCAGGCGACGAAAACCCAATC